AGTTATGTATTCTCTCTATTAATTACTGTTCCATAGGTGCATTTTTTTCCCTCAACCATTTAAGACCAACTTTGTTTTTGTTTTTGTGCCTATACTAGAGTTTGAACTCAGAGCTTCTTTCCCACTGGACTTTCTTGCTCATGGCTAGTGTTCTCCCATTTGAGCCATGTCTCCAGTACTTCATTTTGCTGGTTAATTGGAGAGGAAAATCTTGTGGACTTTTTTTTTGGGGGGGGGGAGTTTCTGGGCTGGCTCTGAACTATGATTTTTCAGGTCTCAGCTACCTGAATAGCTAGGCTTCCAGATGTGAGCCACTGGTGACCAACTGAGAATAAGTTGGGGTCCTGTTTGTCACTGATCTGAAAGTATTTCTGTGTGTATTTCTCAAGAACAAGGATGTTGTCTTGCACATGCAAAGAATAGTTGTACAAGGAAGAAATGTAGTGTTGATCCAATGCTGCACTGAAAGTTCAACAGAGGCCCAGGGAATCTGTCAGCCATCAGGAATTGTTCCCTGGCATTGATAAGAACAGTATAGGACAGCAACAATGCAACTTGCCAGTCACTTAGTGTCTCTTCCTCTTGTTAGACACTGGGGCATGTGCTGAGAGGTCCTACTGATCCCATACAGGGGCCTTGAGTATCTGAGTTATGTAGTATGGAGATCATTTTCCCAGTTCTGTGATTCAAATCCTAAGTGGTTTTGGTGAGGGTATGTGTGTGCTGGTCCTGGGGCTGGAACTCAGGGCGTGGGTGCTGGTCCTGATCATTTCTTTAATGAGTTTTTTATTGTGAAAATACTATACAGAGGGGTTATAGTTACATGACAAGGTAATGAATACATTTCTTATCAAGCATTGTTGTCTCCTCCTTTGATTTTCCCCTACCATCCCTTCCCTCCCCCCCTCCTCAACTGATCATTTTTTGTTGTTGTTGTTCAAGGCTAGTGTTCTACTACTTCAGCCATAGGTCCACTTCCAGCTTTTTAGTGGTTAATTAGAGATAAAAGTTTCTCAGACTTTCTGCTCAGTCTGGTTTTGAACCACAAGCCTCAGATCTCAGCCTTCTCAGTAGCTAGGATTTGCAGGCAAGAGCCGCCAGTTACCAGTTTTAACAACAGAATGAATACAGGAATCTGTTCTCTCTGGAAGAAATTTAAAATGTGACAGATAGAGAAGTTAAAGTCTTTTTGTCCACATTTCCCAGTTCCACTCCCTTAACCTCTTCCTGGAAGTCAGCACACCTAATTGAACTTGGTCCTGGTATCCAGCAAGAGAAGAATTTAGGCGAGGTGTGAAATGTAGTAAAAGTTGTAGGATAGTTGGTGAGTAGAGGCATGCACTTTCAACAGCCTGAAAGTGAGAGTTTCCTTTCTAGGGGCAGAATGACAGTGCACAAATTTTGCTTCGTTTTTGGGTTTTTTGGTAGTGGTCCTGAAGTTTGAACTCAGGGCCTGGAGCTATTTTATAGCCTGAGCTTTTTCACTCAAGGCTTGCACTCTACCACGTTGAGCCACAGCTCCATTTCCAGCTTTTTGGTGATAAATTAGAGCTAAGAGTCTCCATGGACTTTCCTGCCTGGGCTGGCTTCAAACATTGATCCTCAAATCTCAGCCTCCTGAGCAGCTAGGATGACAGGTGTGAGTCACCAGCACCTGGCGTAAATAACTTTTACACAGAAGGCAGAGGTCGGGCTTTCTCTGAAATGATGGAAGCAAATGAATTTGACTCCCTTTTCAGCTCCATGTCCAAAGCAAGCAATGCCCTCTGGAGACCCAATGCCTCTCTGCACATTTAGCAAACTTCCACCAGGGGAAAAAGATTCCTATTTCTACTCTTGGTGAAGCATTTTGTGCCATCTGGGCTGCCTGGATTCCAACAAAGACAGTAAGGAAACATATCTCAGGGAAAATCAACAGTGGGTCCCGCCAAGCGTGGTCTAGAGAGGTTCGTGTGGGGCACTCTTGTCTTCTGGGAACTAAGGCTTGGCTTTGAATAGTTTCACAAAGGCCAGGCCTTTGGAGCCTCGCCTGTAGCTATCACCAACTGCTCTTATGCAATGTGTTCTCTAGCCAGAGCTCTGGCAGGTTGGAACACCAACCATTCCAGGATCAATTCTCCTCCATTTCTCCCAGAAAATTGTAGTGTCTTAGATTCAAGTGGACAAAAGATCTTCAAAGGTGAGGTCGTGATCCAGAGAGAATGACTGCTTTGTGGGGAGGTTGATGCTCAAGACAGGTCATGCTTTTTTCATTGGTTGTTTGTTTTTGTCAGTCCTAGGTCTTGAACTCAGGGCCTGGGTGCTGTCTCTGAGCTCTTCTGCTCAAGGCTAGCACTCTACCAGTTTGAGCCACAGCAGCACATCCTGCTTTCTGGTGGTTCATTGGTGATAAACGTCTCATAGATTTTCTTGTCCAGGCTGACTTTGAACCGTGATCCTCACATCTGTGCCTCCTGAGTAGCTAGGATTACAGGCATGTGCTTTCAGTGTCTCACTAGACAAATCATTCTTAAGTCACTAGTCTTGAGACCAAAAGCTTCATCCTGCCTAGGGATCTTACACTTAAAGTGCAAGACTTCCCTTCCCTACCAACACTTGTATTTATGGTGTCAGTTCATAAAGCATGGAACTAAGGGAAGTGGTGTTAGCAGAGAGAAGAAAGATGAGCTGATTCTACTTGCATATGTCAATCACACAGACAGACAAGTTTCTGGCTCTTCCATGTGTCATCAATCATGGTGGGTTTTTTTTTTTTTGAAGTGCAGTTCACTCTATGATGGAAGTGCCATTCCAGACTACAAACTGCCACCTGCTATTTTCCTTGGAAGGTTCAAGAAATGAGAGAAAATAACAGTTGGGGATCTTCCTCGATGGGGGAGAGCCGTGTTGGTATCTTAAGAAAGCGTCAATCTGCAGAACTGTGCCAGCCAGGGTTCTCTGTGGGCCAGCTCCGGCCTCAGCTTGGAAACTTGTCAGAGAAGCAAATGAACACACTCAGAATTTTCAAACTGGGGGGCTGGGAAGGTGGCTCAGTGGTAGAGCGCTTGCCTTGCATGCTCGAGGCCCTGGGTTCGATTCCTCAGCACCACATAAGCAAAAAGAAAAAAGCCGGAAGTGGTGCTGTGGCTCAAGTGGTAGAGAGCTAGCCTTGAGCTGAAGAGCTGAGGGACAACGCCCAGGCCCAGAGTTCAGGCCCCACGACCAGACCCCCCCCCAAAAAAAAGAATTTTCAAACTGGCATCACTGTGTGGGAGGGGTCCTGGGATGGACTCTGGTGGTCCTTCTGCTCCCCCAGGGTTGAGAAGGTCAAACGGGAGGGTCAAGGGCACAGTTTTCAAGAAGAAATAGCTCAGGTGGTTTTGTTAACTATTGACCTATTTAGGAGTGGTTAAGTCTGCATAAAAACAGACACATGTAGGAAAAGAGGGCACTATAAAATAATAATAAGAATAATATATAACAATTATAATAGCAATGCCACTATCATTTATGGAGTATTTTCTATGATCTCAATTCTGTGCTATGCATGAATTTGTGTGTGTGTGTGTGTGTGTGTGTGTGTGTGTGTGCTGGTACCAGGCCTGAACTCAAGGCCTGGTCACTGACCCTGAGCTTTTTTGCTCAAGGCTAGCCCTTTACCACTGTAGCTATACCTCCACTTTTGGCTTTTGGTGGTTAATTAGAGATAAAAGTCTCATGGACTTTCCTGTCCAGGGTGGCTTTGAACTCTCAATCCTCAGATCTCAGCCTCTTTAAGTAGATAGGATGACAGGTGTGAGCCAGCGGGGCCAGCCATCTTGTCATTTTGAACCTGCAGAACTCTTGCTCTTGTTGTCTTATTTCATCTCTGGAACATTGAGAGAAGATGTTGATGATGGTGTGGAAATTGGTATCTTTGTCTTACTCCTGGCTTTAATGGGATTGAGTTCACCCGGCTCTGTGTTGCAGTTATTTCAGACAGCCCTGATCCTGTTAAGAAATGTCTCTGCTATTTCCAGATAACTACAACGACCTTAAGGTTTTCTCCTTTCACCTATAAATTGATGAGTGTATTAATAATAGATTTCGGAAGGTTGAATCATCCTTGCATTTCTGGTACGAGTCATTATATATTCAACTTCTAGCACATAATTTGATTCATTTTTGGATTAAATATATTACCTTGGATCTTTCCTTCTCCCGCTGTCCCTCCCTCCCTACTCTCGTTCTTCCTTCCCCTTTCTCGCTTTCTTTCTTTTTCCCTCCCTCTTTCCTTCCTTCCTCCCTTCCTTCCTTCCTCCCTTCCTTCTTTCCCTCCCTCCCTCCCTCCCTCCCTTCCTCCCTCCCTCCCTCCCTCTCTCTCTCCTTCCTTCCTTCCTTCCTGCCTTTTTTTTTTTTTTTGTCGGTTGTGGAGCCTGAACTCTGGGCCTGGGCGCTGTCCCTGAGCTCTTCAGCTCAAGGCTAGCGCTCTACCACTTGAGCCACAGCGCCACTTCCAGATTTTTCTTCTTATGTGGCGCTGAGGAATCGAACCCAGGACTTCATGCATGCAAGGCAAGCACTCCACCACTGAGCCATCTTCCCAGCCCCTTCTTGCCTTTTTTTGGTGCTGTTATTGAGGCTTGAACTCAAAGCCTGGGCATTTTCCCTGAGCTTTTTCATTCAAGGTTGGTGCTCTACCACTTGAGCCACAACTTCACTTCTGACCTGTTTTTTGGTGGTTGATTGGAGATAAGAGTCTCACTGACTTCCCTGCCTGGGCTAAGCTTTCAGCTGCAAGCCTCGGATCTCAGCCTTTTGAGTAGCTAGGATCATAAGCGTGAGCCACGGGGGCCTGGCACCCTTGGTGTTTGTAGAATGCACATTCCCTCTGTACAGGGGTGACTGAGGAAGGATGTACATTCTGCAGCCATCTTCAGTGCCTGGGTGGCTGTGGTGGGGGATGGCTTGTCTGTTGTGTTCTAAAAGGTGTTTGGTCGTTAGGGGCATGGTTAATGTTTAAACTGCTTTTTCTTTTCCAGTTAGAGATGCTAAAAACCTTGTCCCTATGGACCCCAATGGCTTGTCCGACCCCTATGTAAAACTGAAACTCATCCCTGATCCCAAAAGCGAGAGCAAGCAGAAGACCAAAACCATCAAATGCTCCCTCAATCCCGAGTGGAATGAGACCTTCCGATTGTAAGTTGACATGGAGGCCACTAAGCCTGGGCAGTTAGCAGCTGCGGACGTGGGTTACCTGAGAAGGAAGGACCTCCCCTCACTTCCTGTTTCCTTCTCTTTCCTTCCCTTTACCTCACTTCCTTCCATGAGCCATCTGTGGTTCAAGCAATATATATACATATATGCATATGTGTATATATATATATCACATATTTTATTTTACTTAAATTTCTTAATTTATTTATATGTTGGGGCTTGAAGTCAAGGCTTGAGTGTTTTTTTTCTCAAGGCTAACTCTCCACCACTTGAACCACAGCTCTACTGCTGGCTTTTTGCTGGTTAAGTGGAGATGAGAGTCCAGTGAATTTTCCTGCCTGGGCTAGCTTTGAACTATGATCCTCACATCTCAGCCTCCTGAGTAAGCTAAGATGACATGCGTGAGTCACCAGCACCCAGCATTGTTTTTTATGTTTTTATTTGTGTAAATGTGTGTGTTGACACGATGGCTTGACCCCTGGACCTCTTTTTGCTCATGGCTGGCACGCTACCATTTGAACCACACCTCCAGTCTAGCATTTTGCTGGCTAACTGGAGATGGAGTCTCGCAGACTTTTCTGTCTGTGCTGGCTTCTAGCCATAATTCTCCAGACCTCAGATTCCTGAGTAGCTGCGATGACAGGTATGAGCCACCAGTGCCCGGCTATAGAACCTATCTTAAAAGTAGAACTGAGAAAGTGTGATGTAGGGAGCAAATAGGATGGGGGCCACTCAGCGTGCTGCAGGTGAAGGGATGCTGTCGGACCCCCAACCTGCCACAGAGTTGGTGACCACCTCTCCAGAAGGATCTCTCCAACAGTGTCCCTCGAGGGCCTTCCTCGGCCAGGAGGAATCTGGGACCAGCAGGTGCCCCACATCTGACCAACAGGCGTTCACTACCACAGCCAGCTGATGTGTAACAGACCCTAGTTAGGTTCTAACTTCATCACTTCATTTCTTCCCCGCTTTCTAGATGGTTCTTACACAACTTGAAGGCAGTTTTCTTAAGGCCCATAGTGGCTTTGGATACAGCAGGGTTCACCTTGGGCAATAGGTCAGAGATCATGGTTCCAGCTATGGGCTGGTGCTTCTGGTCACCGGCTGACACTTCTGGTCACCTGGTGACCTTTGGGTTCCTTAGGGGTAGCCCCAGATTCTCTACCGTTTTCCAGGGAAAAACCAGAAAAACACTGGAAATGTCAACAGGGCCACCCTCAGCTCACAACCCTTTCCTGTGACTCAACCTGCCCCCTTCTCCCCAGATACTTTCTCAGTTGTGTCTTTAAGTCACAAGTGCATACATGCATGCACACACACACACACACACACACACACACACACGAGTGTGAACACCCCCTTCCCCCAATCACCCCAGTTATACAGTGGGTACTGTGGTTCCTCAATGATTGACAGCAGGACTTCCCAAACACCATGAACTCAGTGAAGGTCTAGAGCTGCTGACCCAGCTAAGGTGGCTTTCGTGGGAGCTAGCCCTGGCTTTCTCCAGCTTCTGCCATCGGCTGCCAGTCAGGAAAAGCCTCTGGGGAGTGGGGACTGGGCGTGTTTCTTGCTTGCAGTGTTTAAAACATGTCTATCTCTGGGTCTTGTCTGCTTGTACCTTTTATTTTCTTGAGGAGTCAGGAAGGCCTGACCTGTTTCTCTCTCCCTTTTTTTTTTTTTTCTCCTTCAGTCAGCTAAAGGAATCGGACAAAGACAGGAGGCTGTCGGTGGAGATCTGGGACTGGGACCTGACTAGCAGAAATGACTTCATGGGGTCGTTGTCATTTGGGATTTCTGAACTGCAGAAAGCTGGTGTGGATGGCTGGTAAGAAAGATTTTTTTTTTTCCTCTGGAAACGGCAAACCCGAGATCAGGCATATTTTGCTTCTCCCCTCCTCCCCCCCCCAAAAAAAAGAAGCACAAAAAGCAAGCAGAGGCCAAAAGAGACAGTTGGTGGCTTAGATCTCCTCACAGACACATCTTACTTGGTTAATGAAAAAGCCAAGTGTGATGGTGGTGCATGCCTGTAATTCCAGTACTCAGGAGGCCGAGGCAGAGGATTGGAAATTTAAGGCCAGCCTGGGATCATTAGTGAGACTTTGGGTCTGTCTCAACATCAATGTGTGAGCAAAGAAACAAGCCAAGTGGAGGAAGGAGAAGGAGAGGAGGAGGACAAAGAAGAGGAAGAGAAAGGAGGAGAAAGGAGAAGGAAGAGGGAGGAGAGGGAACAAAGGAGGAAGAGGAGGAGCAGGAAGAGGAATGAATTGCTAGTATTTAAAAATGCTTGGGAAGAGTTGTTTGGCCAACATCCACTAGGACAGAGCCAGCCCCAGGCCTCACTCCCCACCCCCACTCCTCTTGTAATCACACACCTGCCCCACGTTACACAATTGCTGGACTTGGAGAGAGCCCTAAAGTGGTTCTCATGGTTTAATCAAACACATCTGTCCGATTTCAATTCCCTAAGGGAGGAGTCTCCCTGGAGAGTACTAGCCAGGCCAAGATCAGTCACAACATCTCTTCTCTTCTGGAGGTTTAACACGGCTCCCTTCACATGTAAACAACAACAACAACAATAACAGCAACAACAAACTGCCCACTGGCAGTATCTCCAGCTTGGAAGGTAGGGCCTTCAACACTGTGAGGAAGGATCTAAATTCAAACAGCCCGGCTTACCACAGTCAGTTTAAAAGTACCCATAGGCACAGGTCTTATTTCTTTGAGATAAAACCATCTTATTTCTGAATTATCTCATCCGGGACCTTTTTCAGTGCCAAGTGGAAGAAAAGGAAACACAACCACCACCACCAAGTGTTTTGCCAGAATGTGTTGTGCTTTCTGGACTAAACCTGTTGGCTCCCATCTACCTTACAACTCCCTGCTCTTGCTCTGCTTTGTTGACCCGAGTGTCTGCTAGGGTCTAGTCTCCAGGGACCTATCACAGTTTGAACAGACACAGCCTCGTGAACTTAACCCGTGGCAGGAAATGGGCTGGAGGTAAACCCTGAGCAAGAAATTACACACGAGAAGTTGATGTTGAGGGAGGGAAAGTACTTTAAAAAGCCCCTTTAAGTTATGCATCGTTCTCAGGGTGTTAAAAACATAATTCTTATGAAACAGACAATGAGCATTTGTGTCAAGGTTTTGCTTAAGCACATTAAGGACAAAAGCAGCAGGAAAGCTGGCTCTGGTGGCTCACGCCTCTGATCCTAGCTATTCAGGAGGCTGAGATTGGAGGATCACAGTTCAAAGCCAGCTCGGGCAGAAAAGTCCATGAGACTCTTATCTCCAATTAACCACTAGAAAACCGGAAGTAGTGCTGTGGCTCAAGCAGTAGAATGCTTGCCTTGAACTAAAGAGCTGCAGGATAGCGCCCAGGCCCAGAGTTCAAGCGCCAGGACCAACGAAAAAAAAAAAAAGCAGCAGGAAAAAAAAAAAAACCCACAATTGATTCCACAGAAGATGTGAGGGACTGGTATTCAGGTAATTCATAGAAAAAGGAAAGTGGAAACAAGTTGGCAAGGGATGGAGATGCTGCTCAAGTGATAGAAGCATGCAGTCATGGGGCTTGAACTCGGGGCTTGGATGCTGTCCCTGAGCTTTTCCACTCAAGGTTAGTGTCCTACCACTTTGAGCCACAGTGGCACTTCTGGTTTTCTGGGGGGTTCACTGGAGATACGAGTCTCATGGACTTTCCTGCCCAGGCTGGTTTTGAATCTCGATCCTCAGATCTCAGCCTCCTGAGTAGCTAGGCTGACAGGCGTGAGAAACACTGGCACCAGGTTCCATTGGCTCGGCTCACTGCGGTTTGGATACCTTGAGTCCCGCACAGTGACTGGCAGTTCAGGTGTATATCTTCCCTGTCAGCAGAGCACAGCCTGGCAGTGGGGGTATCACATGCTCTGTCACACCCCGTGACACCATCTTCAGAACCGGGTCCTTAAGCGACACCCAGATGGCTGTAACTTAAGATGGGGTGTCAGCAGCCACAGGGGAGACCCCCCAGATGCCAGGCACTAGCCTGAGCCCCTCTGATCTGTCTCTCTGCTTCCATGGCTCCATGTCTGCCGGCTGGGCCTCTCCTTCCCCGATCCATGTGTTAATGCCATTCTCCTTTCGTTCCCCTTGATCGCCCAGGAATTCATCTGTTCTGCTTGTTTACTTTTTCTTCTGAGAAGGAGCTGTGAGATTTGTGGCTCCCTTTCCTCTCCTCTCGGGGTTTGTTTTGGGCTTGTCTTTGACTTGCAGTTGAGTATTTTGCTAATTGGTTTTTCCTCCCTCCGCTGGTAGTCGGCTCTTTCAGGATAATGAGTCCGGCGTGCAGGGGAGCAGGTAATTCCTCTAAGCTTTTGTCCCTCCTGTCCTGGCTTTTGTTCCCATCCAAGGTCTGCAGGTGTGTTTTTAATTTCGGTTCTAACTCGCCTGTATTTACCGAGGCTTTTCAACAGCTAGCTTTGCATTTACATTTTTATTACTGATGCTCAATTACACTTAGGTGTTTTATAGTCAGAGCAGACTGCTGTGGACAGTTGTGGTAATGCTATGTGTGCCAGCCGGCCCTAAGGCATGGTGTGTGTGTGTGTGTGTATGCACACATGCGTGCACACACGCAGGCAGCAGTACCAGGCTTGAACTTGGTGCCTCCTGCTCTTGCTTAGCTTTTTTTTGTTGTGGTTGTTCAAGGCTGGTGTTCTACCCCTTGAGCCGCACCTCTACTTCCAACGTTTTGCTGGTTCTTTGGATATAAGAGTCTCTAGATTTGTCTGTGAGGCGCAAGGGATGCTGGGTAGTTCTTGTCCTGGAGAATGACACCCAAAGGCCATGAGTATGATGTGCAGGCGGGAGACAGGGATGTGGGCAGCGGGTGTGTCAGAGTCCCCCAGAGCCTTGAACACACAGGACATAGGTCAAAGCACCTGGGAAATGATCCACGTCACTGGAACCTAGCGCCAGGAGCGTCGGGAGACAGGGTTCTCGGCGTCCTGTCAACACTGTGCCATTTCATTTCTCCGGTGTGCTCAGAATACAGGCCAAGAGCCCCGTATCTGACAGCTGTGGAGCCGGAAGTGTTTTGGCTTTCAGGAATTTTTGGAGGTTGGGGGCATTTGCATATTCATAATGGATGTGAGGACATTTGCATATTCATAATAAGATGACCGGAGTCTCAATGGGAAGCTCGTTTGTTTCCCACGCACTCTATTCACATTGTCTGAAGGAGATGTTTGACAGTAGTGTGTGTGTGTGTGTGTGTGTGTGTGTGTACACACCAGGGTTTGAACTCCATGCCTCATATTCTTGCTTAGCCTTTTTAGGCTCAAGGCTGGCACTCTACTACTTGATCCAAAGCTTCACTTCTGGCTTCTTTGGTAGTTGGCTAAAAGTCAGGCGCCGGTGGCTCACGCCTGTCATCCTAGCTACTCAGGAGGCTGAATTGTGAGGATCATGGTTCGAAGCCAGCCTGACAGGAAAGTCTGCGAGACTCTTAGCTCCAATAAACTACCAAAAAAGCTGAAAGTAGTGCTGTGGCTCAAATGGTAGAGTACTAGCCTTGAGCAAAATGAAGCTCCAGGGAAGCAGCCAGGCCTGGAGTTCAAGCCCCGGGACTGGCCCCAAAAATCAAAACGTGAAAATGAATTTTTGCATAAAACAAAGTTTTATTTGTAGTGCCTTCTCCGTAATCCAAAAGTTTTGGATGATGGGACATTTGGGATTTTTGGTTTGGGGGAGGATGACTGAATGTTCCCAAAGTACCTCGTGGGCTTGGCTGCACACGCATGCACACACACCCCTACACACAAACACACGCAGAGACACAGATGCAGACACACATGTGTGCACACACTCCTCCAGAACCAGCCACACAAACTCCGAGGGAGCAAAAGGCCCTCATTGCAGGCTGTTGGAGGCCCCTGTAATGCCGTCTCCACAGAGATGTGTTCTCCGCTGTCTTTGTCTCCTCTTAGGTTCAAGTTGCTGAGCCAGGAGGAGGGAGAGTACTTCAATGTGCCTGTACCACCGGAAGGAAGCCAGGGAAATGAGGAGCTGAGGCAGAAATTTGAGGTGAGTCTCTCTCCTCTCTCTCTGCCTCAGAGGGACAAGTACCTCTAACCTCCCTTGGCTGTTTTATTTTCTGTGGGTGAGGTTGCATCTACCCAGGCCTTTTATGACTCCGAGCCTTTGCGATGCTGTGCCATCTCCTACAAAACTCCTACCGATGCTTCAAAACCCCAGAGAAATACCCTTCCCCTTGTGTAGTCATTCCTGTGGCCCTGTCCAAATTTGGCCTTCCCCATTTCCTCAAAAGTGCTCCTTCAGGGTCAGCTGGCTTTGAGGCTGAGTGGATGGGAAGAGTGGTGAGTTACTGAAAGGGGAAACAGAAGGATACAGAGGCCAAGCCGGGGAGGTTTGGGGGGAGGGGCCTCCTGGGAGGATGGGGGCTGGGCTGTCACAGGTTCCCGTGGGCTGCTGGCCCTGAGAGAACTCTCCCAAACCAGTCACACTTGACTCTGTCCTTGGATAAACCCTCCCCCACTTTCTGGGGACCGTTGAACCCCAATTTTAGGCATGTGGGAGCAGCAGGTAAGCAGAACCTATCCCAGTTTTGCCAAGAAGATGTTTTGGCAAAGGCAGGCTCGTACTGAGTCACTTCAATGTCGTTTGGGGGGGAATCTGGTTTACTCACTGCGTGCGGTAGAAGCCCTCAATTTTAGATAAGCAATGGCATCCTAGGCACCGTTCTGCGGCAGAGCTAGAAGGAGCTGAGCTATTGTTTCCTATGAAATAATCACACAAAAGCCTTGTGAAAGTGTGGACCATACATAAAGTTCTCAAACGAGACATGGAGTGTGTGGAGAACATGTGAAGAACAGCGTTACCTTGTCTGAAAAGAGGCGGAAATGCAGTGGAAATGAGCCAGAGGAGAGCCAAGAGCTTTCCATCCAGAACGAACTGTAGGTGCAAAGGCCCTGGGGTGGCTTGTTCTATCACCGTTCTAGGAGACTGAACAACAGTTATTGTGAGCATGCAGCAGGGAAAGCCCGGGGGGGGGGGCTAAGTGCTAGGGAGGGCTAGGGAAGAGGTAGGGCCAGAGTAACAGGATAACAGAGTAACTTTGCCTTTGGCAGAGTTTTTGTTTGTTGCCAGTCATGGGTCTTGAACACAAGGCCTGGGCACTGACCCTGAGCTCTTTTGCTCACAGCTCTTCTTCCAGTTTCCTGGTGGTTCATTGGAGATAATAGTCTCACAGACTTTCCTGCCCAGACTGGCTCTGAACCGTGATCCTCAGATCTCAGCCTCCTGAGTAGCTAGGATGACAGGCGTGAGCCACTGGCACCCCGGTTGGCACTGATTTTTGACATGTATCCCAAGAGTCATTTTAGTTCTGCAAACCTCAGCTCAACAGAAATCTAAGCCCCTGTGTTGTTTGTGGAGCCCAAGCCTTCTACGCAGAGAGAATGGTTCAGACCCTGTTGGTCTCCCTGGAAACAAGTGGAATAAACTCACTGGACTTGAGCTTTTCCGCCATTTTTCAATGACCTTGGTAATGAAAGGTCATTCCTATAGACCTGTAGGGCCTACAGGCCTGGACAGCAGAGATGCCCAGCCCATCTTCAAAGTCTCTCCATCTTTCTCCCCCATCTTTCTGCTCACGTACTGCCCTTTTGCTGCTGTGTTTAAGATGGTACAATGGTGGCTGTAAAAAAAAAAACAACAAAAGCCAAAAAAAAAAAACCCACCAAAACCAGGGCTGGTATTTTCATAAACTGAAGCTTCTGTTTTTGCAAAATGATTTCTTCTGTCCTGGGGCAGCTGGGGTGACATTTCAGAACACAACCACCACCATCACCACCACAACAAATCTTCTCCACAAACAGAGCATTTGTCTGGGCCCGTAATTGGCTTGAAGTGGAGAACTATTTTATCTGCATGCGACAAAATGTGTGTCTTTCTTTCTGGCGGGAGCCCGCAAATGCTTGTTTATGCCTGAATTGTAATCGCGCCATACCATAGTGCTTGATTACAAAAAAAAAAAAAGGTTTCCAACAGAACGAAAATTGTCCTCAGACGTACGAGAAATTTCAGTTGACCTTGAATGTGAGAAACAGAATCCTAGCGTGCTAACCAGTTAGCACCCGGAATGCGTCCGAAATTACCTTCTAGCGTCTTCTCTGGAGGAAGGAATTTGGGGGTGATGATACAATGGAGCTGCTGGAGTTGGAGTGATTGAGCTTTGGGGATAGGTGACCTTGGGGACAGGGGACAGTCACAGACCACCAGGGCTGGCTTTGTCTAGGCGATGCTTTAAGTGGCTCGGAATGCATTTTCCTGACCATTTTAGGGTGCATTTATTGATTTACAATGTGCCATTTATTCATCTCACTGCTGTACAGATAAATACTGACTCCTGTAATTCCTCTAGAATGCCCCTGACTGTGCTGTGGTCATTCCTAGTTTCTTTGTCAGATAAGTAAACCTGAGGCCCAAAGAAATGACAGAATACTCCCAGGTCTCAGGGCTGATCATTATCTTGGGTTTTGAGTCTTCCCAGAAAATAGACTGTGAGAAGAAGCATTCAGAGGTGGGCTTGGAGGTGCAAGCCTGTCAAATCTACGTTCAGGAGGCAGAGACAGGAGGATCATGAGGTAGAGGCCAGTTATGGGGCTACGTATGGAGACCTAGTCTCAAAAGCAACAACACAGTAAAGGAGTCAAGTGCAAATGGTTTATATTTAGGAACAGGCCCCTGCAGAGGTGGGGGAGAAAGAGGAAGGAGGAGGAAGGGTAGGTATAGCAGTTTCTCAGCAGCTGGAGGGGAGATGAGCCTTGGGGCACTACATCCAACAAGTACCACAATCTAGAGAGGCTGGATTTCCCCATCTAACAAGCGTGCTATATTCACACACCAACAACGCCCATCCTTTCCACTTTGTCTAGCTAAATGGCTTATAAAATCTAACAAGACATCAGCGCTCTGTAAGTAGCCATTACTTACCCATGGCAAAAGAATACCTATTCATGTCTAGGGCAGACCCAGCGGCGTTTTAACTGATTCTCTGGATTCTCCCTGAGTTGTATGAACTGGCAGGTGCAGTCCAAGGGCCAGTGGTTGGATCCGGGCTACATGGTGGCTCGGGGCTGGATGGGGTTCCAATCTGCAGTGGGGACTCCCCTGCCCAGTTCCCTTCCCTGGGCCTTTGTCCCCAGCCCCCCTGTGGTGGCTGTATCAGAAGTGGAGCCCCCCCTCCCCGCAGGGATGCAGGTGTGACAGCTGGCAGCCCCAGCTGTAAGGGGCACCAAGGGCCTGGGCCAGCACCAGCTGCCACATCTGTGTGACAGGGACCCAGTTAGTGGTGGCTCTGGGCAGCCTGCCTGGATTTGAACCCTGCTCTCCCAGTCCCTGGCTGAGTGATTATAGGCAAGCTACTCTCTTTCTCTCTCTGAGCTTTGGACTTGCCTTCTCCTAAAGTGGGGTGATGGTTGCATAGCTTAATGCGTTGCATACCCAGCTCCCCTTTGAAATAAATATGGGGTGTGTGGACAGGGAGATTCTACCGGGGCTCCCAGGCTGTTAGTGGCTGGCCTTTATTCCAGGGTGGCAGGGACCCCCACCCCCCGAGCTCCCTCTAGGACTCGGGGTGCACAGATGTCTGTGGTTTAAGGCAGGACAGGGGTTCACCCTCTGAGAGGGAGTGGGGGCCCAGCCCTGGGAGCCTACACAGCCCCCCTTGACAGCAGCGGGGCTGCCCACCCACTTCGAGGGGCTCCCCATTTGCTTCCTCTCTGAGCACTGAGTTCCTAGGCTCTAAATGGCACACATGGAAGGCAACCATTTCTGGAGTCTGTTCTGAGTCACATCCTTTACCCAGCAAAAGGACAACTTTAATTTGGACTTCCATTTCACCCCTTGGATGACTCGGCCAGGTGGTGGGAGGCCGTGGGTGTGTAGACGCAACGTGACGGGTCTTCACCCCCCAGAGGCCCCCTGTGACAGGGCACAAACCCATGTGCTTATGGGATCCAGGTGGACATCCAGTGTGTGTGGGGGGGGAGGGGAATACAATGCTTTAAATATTAAAATAGCAGCAAACACTGGGAAAGATAGACCAGTATTATTAGACTATTCATCTAGATGCTAGATACTCAGCTAAGCATGCTGGATGAGTTGTGTTTGGCTGCTGTAACAAAGTGTCTGAAGATGGGTATTTCAGAGAAGAAAAAAAGGTTTTTTGTTTTCTTGGTTGTGAGGGTGAGGCTTGAACTCAGGGCCTGGGCACTCTCCCTGAGTTCTTTTGCTCAAGACTAGTGCTCTACCACTTTGAGCCACAGCGCCACTTCTGGTGTTTAGAAGATAAAGAGTCTCACAGACTTTCCTACCCTGGGCTGGCTTCAAACTGTGATCCTCAGATCTCAGCCTCCTGAGTAGCTAGGATTACAGGTGTGAGCCACCAGTGCCCAGCTTGGAGTTTTCTTTCTTTCTTTCTTTCTTTCTTTCTTTCTTTCTTTCTTTCTTTCTTTCTTTCTTTCTTTCTTTCTTTCTTTCTTTCTTTCTTTCCTCCTTCCTTCCTTTCCTCCCTCCCTCCCTCCCTCCCTTCCTTTTTTCTTTTTTTCCCATCTTGGAGGCTGAAAGTATTACCCATTTGGGTTCTGCTGAGGACTGCCCGGGGCTGGGTCACTAGGCGGTGGGAACAGGAAGCATGAGGGGATGGTGGAGGATGGTCCATCACCTACCGACCTCCCACGAGGCTCCGCCCCTCACTTCAATCATCCCCTGGCACCAGAGCATCTAGCCTGGACCCTCTGGGAAACAAACCAGAGCACAAAGCAAGCTGAGTGGAGTAGAAGCAGAAACTCGAAGGACAGCAGCCCAAACCAAACAACAACAACAAAAAACCCACCCGTTCCTTGGCTCTAAGTCAAGCCAATTCTCTAAGTCAAGTCAAATGAGCCCAGTGGAAAGTGTGAGCTCCGCCCCCTGTTTCCATAGCAATGGGCTGGGACCACACCCCCACACACCCTGGAAGCCCCTCCCTCCCTACCCAGGGAGAGACTGCCCAGAAGACCTGCTGGGGGCTTGAGGAGAAGCCGTGAGAGGGTGGGTGGGAGGGGGTGGGGGGAAAGAGCGTGGGTTCCCCTAGGGACAGAGGGGATAATGATGTTGATGATTTGGGGGTGTTGTGTAGTATGTAGCTCAAGTCAGCGTGGCTTTTGTCCTGGTCCCTTGTTTTCTGTTATGGCTCCATCACAAAGAAAATAATCTCCTGGTTTCAATAACTCCCACGTCTCTGTCTCCATTTCAGGTATCTTTTCTTCTTCCAGTCCTGGGGCTTGAACTCAGGGCCTGGGTTTTTCCATTCTACCACTGAATCACCTGTGTCCATTTCGGGCTTTCTGGTGGTTAATTAAACAGTAGAGTCTCATGGTCTTTTTCAGGCTGGCTTCGAGTTGAACCCTCAGTTCTCAGCCTCCTGAGTAGCTAGGATTACAGGTATGAGCCACCAGCACCTGCCATAACCAGTTCCTTTGTTGTTGGTGGTGGTGGTGTTGGTGTTGGTGGTGGTTAAACAGGGAAACGGTGGTTTAGGAAGGTTTATTCCTCTGGTGCAAAGAAGCATCTACTATGTGCCAGGCCCTGCTCCAGGTACCACTCAAACAGCAGAAGACAATACAGACCAAATCCTTTCCCTAAAACAACCTTGGGTTCTGCTGTGAAGGGAGAGACAATATAAGGAAATAGGTGGTTTGTGAGATGGTGACGGGTGATGTGGAAAGAAAAAAAAAAAAGGAAGGCAAATGGAAATTGCTAAGAGTTATTTGATATACACTCTTCATTGCTGGAGAAAGTATATACCCAGCAACTGCAAAGGCCCTGGGGTGCGAATACATTCTGTGTATTCAGAGAAATCAGCATGGAAAGAACCAAGAGAAGACACTGGAATCAGAGAGGGTGCTGAAGACCCAGGCCATCAGTGGCCTTTGGTTTTCTCACTCTGGGGAAATGGAAAGCAAACGATGTTCTGGGTGAAGGAGTAGCCTGGGATAAATCATTTGTCCCGGGTCACACGGAGTCAGCATTCTAACCTGAGCTCACAAACTCCTCCGTTTTCACTATCCTGGAAGTAAATCCTGTTAAAATGTCTTCATACTCTCAACATTCCTGGAACAGGATGAGAGGAAGGGGAGAGGAACTCAATTTAGAAAGAGCAAATCCTGAATGGCTTCCCAGAGGAAGCAGAGCGGGTAACTGGGTGGGCGAAGGAAAACCTGCCGTGGTCTGTGTGTGGGTGCAGGCATGATCTGGGATGTTTGTATTCATCCCCACCCCCTGGCCCCCTTCTCCCAACAACTGGAACACATACTCCAGAGGGTCAGCTTCAAGGGAGGAAAGACATATTTAGACTCCGGGTGTTGGTGGCTTCGGTCTTGGTCAGCTGATCCATTGCTTGTGGGCCTGTGGGCAGGTGGCGGGTTATTGTGGGAGCTCATGGTGGAGGAGCTGCTTGCTTCCAGATAGCTGAGGAAGAAAGAAAGAGATGAAGAGACCAATGTCCCACAATCCCCTTTGAGGGCAGCCCTCATTGATAGGCGAGAAAGATGGGGGAGATAGAAGAGAAAGAAGCAGGAGGAGGAAGAGGAGGAGGAGGAGGGAGAGGAGGGGAGGAGGAGGAAGAGGAGGAGAGGAGAAGTAATCCCCTTTGAGGGCAGCCCTCAGTGATAGGAGAGAGATGAGGGAGGTAGAAGAGAAAGAAGCAGAAGGAGAAGGAGGAGGAGGAGGAGGAGCAGCAGCAGCCTGGGAGTGAAGAGGATACACAGGCAGGTGTCAGTCAGCTTTCTGTCACTGTAACAAAATACCTGGTTAACTAACTTCTTTTTCTTTGGTTGTAATGTTTTTATTGTTATTGTAAAGATGGTATATGGAGAGGTGACAGTTACATGCGTCAGATAAAGAGGACATTTCTTTTTGGACGTTTCCCCTTCCCTGCTTCTCTCCCAGTTTTTCCCTCCCGTCCCCACCCGCAAGTTGCACGGCTCCTTTTCAACACAGTGACCAGTTTTCCGTGCCTCCCCTTACCCTCCCAAAGACAGATAAAGGAACAAGGAAGACAAAAAAGAAAAGAAAAGCATCAACAAAAGGAAAAAAAAACAAGCAAACAACTCGTTTCCATTTCCTGGCGTTCATTTCGATGAATGGTAGTTTGCACGATCAGAGGTACATAGGTGCATTGTACCTTTGTATTACTTTCCCAACCTCTAAAGGGGTTCTAAAGTAGTCCTGGAAACTTTAGTCCAAGATGGGGCAGACCAAAGGCTTTGCCTCTGGTGGGAGAGCGTGTGGTGGGCCAAACTGCTTGCCTGGTGCCCAGGAAGCAGAAGAGAAAAGGTGAGGGCCCCACAGTCCCCATCAAAGACACAACCCAAGGACTTAACTTCCTCCCACCAGGCCCCGCCCTCTAAAGGTCTTCCACCAACCCACAGCGCCACCCTGAGGCCCAAGTCTTTAACACGCGGTTCTTTGGGGGCGGGCACAGACGCCAGGTAGAGGCTGATCTCATAAACCAGCAAAAGGTCTTTGACCTTCATCCTATAATTGACAGGATGCACCCACAGCCTGTGGAGCAGTGGGTGGGAAGCTTGTAGTAGTAGCCGGCTGGGTCAGAGAGAGGACAGATGTACACAAAAAAAGCTAGCAAGCATTAGGAGAGGAAGGGACAGTTTGTGGGACAAGGAGAGCTGGACAGAGGCATCTAGGATGCTCTGGTCTGGGCCTTGTGGAACAGATGTGGGGCCAGGTGACGCAGCATGTGAGCTAGCTGCAGGAGGCCACAGTATGCACGTGACTGCTTCCACCTGCTCACCCTAATCGTGTCCCCCACCCCCCACCTCCCTGTGCTTTCTCCCCCAGAGGGCCAAGGTAGGCCAAGGAAACAAGACTCCCGAAGAAAAGACCACCAACACCATCTCCAAGTTTGACAACAACGGTAACAGGGACCGGATGAAACTGACCGACTTCAACTTCCTCATGGTGCTGGGGAAAGGCAGCTTTGGCAAGGTAGGGTGTGCCTCGGTGTGCCAGAGTGGCTGCAGCCACTCCAGCAAGGACAGCAGTTCCATGGGGCGTGGTGTTCAGGGGGGAGAAAGAGGCAAAAGGAAACTGGCTGAGTGCCAGTGGCTCATGCCTGTGATCCAAGCTGCTCAGGAGGCTGAGATTGGAGGATCAGGGTTGGAAGTCCATCCAGGCAGGCAAGTTGATGAGACTCTTATCTCCATTTAACAACCCCCCCAAAAAAAACAAACCCACAGAAAACAGCCTTGAGCACAGAGATGCTCAGGGACAAGTGCCCCAGGCCCTGAGTTCAAGCCCCAGGACTGGCAGGAAAAAAAAAAGAAAGAGCCAGACAGTTTGTTTACAGTGCAGACAGTAATCGTACAACGGCACCCTCCACTTCAGTATGTCCCTAAGTACATTCCTAGGTACTCTCAGAAGGTAATTTGGGGAACTTGCTTGCAGAGGGAAAACTAGGTTCCTAATTGGGCAAAGCTTAAAGGGCTGCAGTGGGGAGCCATTGGAAGTTTTTAAGCAGGGATTCCACGTGATCTGATGTGTGTGTGTGTGTGTGTGTGTGTGTGTGTGTGTGTGTGTGTGTGTGTCTGTTTGCAAATGATCCTGGTGGCAGCTGAGAATGGAAACAATTTCTAACAGCGACATGGTTGAAGGACAGGTCTGGGACTCATAGAGCGATTTATAGATCCCATGAGATATTGCTTTACTGGGATTGAGATTGTTTTGTAAGTATCCCTCACTTGTTTAGTATTGTTGTGAGTCTTTTAACTCCTCTGTGTGCTACAGAGACGGCTGGTATAAATCTCACACCATGAACTCAGGTGTATAAAAAAAAAAAGAAATTTCTTCTTCGTCTTGGAAACTTAAGGCAGAAATCTGAGCCCTGTCTTGTCTTTTGATTTTCCTCCTGTGTGTGTGTGTGTGTGTGTGTGTGTGTGTGTGTGTGTGTGTGTGTGTGTG